GAAATAGAGTAAGTATTAGTTTATTTGGAATTATTTGTGAAATACATATCCAAACAAAAACTTCTCCTTCCCCTTTCAAAAAAAATATATATATATATATATAAAATAGATTTTGAGGACTATACAATAAGAATTTGTTTTGTTTGTTTAGCCATATATTTGAAAATATATAATTATGATTATAATTATGACTCGTGAAATTTCGGCCACCGTTTTCAGTTTTGTTGATTAACTAATAGTATGTGGGATGGTTAATTAATAAATAGCTTTATGCACATGTTATTATTGGACTAATAATTTTTTGCTCAGCTATGTATAACTATTTTCACCTAAACAGATCTTTCTGCCTTCTTTTCCCTTTCGTCAATGACCTAATGACACTCACCTATACATGTTTTCTTTTGTTTTTTTTAAGGGTAAGACTTAAATACTTAGTTTTATATATTTTGTGTATTTTTACCCAGTCAAATTAAAAACAAGTAAATTTTAATATGTTAATAATATTAATAATAATAATTTATTATAGAATAAATAGTCTGTAAATGATACTCATGTCTTTACTAATTAAACAGAAATAAGTATATTAAGTATATAAGGTTTTGTTTATAAATTTTTTCTTTTTTTATTTTAATTAGTACAACATCTAAATAAGGTATTTCCTAAGATTTATAAAGGCTCATATCTGACAAAAGCGATATTGTTAACTAATTCAACTTACAAATTAAATAACTTTCTTTTTCTTTCGTTTTCATCATTATTCTTAATTTAGAGGCTATAGCCACGCCGAACTGAATCTTCGTCATATAATAATTTTTTTACAGGACTTTTTTAATTTAATTGACGCAAGCAATCGTTTTATGTATTTTTGTATGTATGACATATTTTTCTTTTTCTTTTTCTTGTTATAAAAAAATGACATATACGAATAAGTGTTTTTTTTTTTTTAAACCAAAGTACACGAATAAGTTAAAACACGTTGTGGTGAACAAGAAACCACGAGGGTCCAAAAGCATGTTAGATAGCTTGCAGTCAACTTTCCTTGAGATTTTGTCTCCTCTTTATTTTATTCAATCCTTTTATGTTTTTTATGTTTCATGTTACAGTGTAAGCAGCAAACATGCAATTCATACCCTATAAAGATATGGATTCAAATTTCATTGTCTATATACAAAATTGCAATTCTGACTCTACCTTAAACATTTATATTTTCTCCGATCGTATATTGTTTCTAATTTAATTTCTAATTATCTCATCGAAATCTGAATGTTGTTAAATTATTTAATTTGCATTTTCTTTAAAAGAAAGGAATTTTTTAAATTTATTCTTACTAAATGAATTGTTTTTAGAAACATTTTCTATCTTATATGAAATCTTTGACCCTAATTGTAAAAATTTTTGAAAAGGTAAAATTAAAAGAACGTATTTAATAGTACATTTTTTCATGCAAAATGACGTATAAAAATAATCGTGATCTTTTTTTTAAAAAAAAAAAAAGAAAGTGACTTGTAGAAAGTACTACACAAGAAAATAGTCTAATTTTTCAAAATAGTTTACCATTACTAATAAATTATTTTAGTTTGTGAAAGAAACACAATTTTTGCTTGGTCATGAAAGTTGAAAGCGAACGCTTTCTTATCATAAAATATACTCCCTGTCGTCTTATTAATTAAGTCACTCCCAACTTTTTTAGTTGGAATTAAAAAAATTTGAGAGAATGACAAATAAGCACCTTGTAAGTCTTAATATCAAACTAATATTTCTAAATTTTAGTACTGCTTTTATCATGTTTCAATACTAAAGTTTTTAATTTGGTATTAATGTTTTTATAAGGTCTTTATTTATCATTCTCCTAAAAAACTTTAAATCTCATTAACTCTATCTAAAAATTTAATAAGTCTCTAACTTTATTCTTATTAAATATACATTTTTTACATTTAATAACTTTCCTAACATTTAATAGGAGTAAAAGGGTAACAATGCACACAATAATAATTGAGGTGTTTTATAAATAGAATTAAAACATACTCTCTCTCTCTCTATCATATGAATAGGAACACAGGAGTATATTGTGAGTGCTATGTTAACCTCTTTTGTTTAAAATGAGATCTGCAAAGTTTAAGGTGTACAAATTAAATAACCATATGGTTCCGACATTTAATATTCAATTATGTCTAAAATAAAATTGTCTCTAATAGAAGGACATTGAAAAATTGAAAAAAAATTAAATGATCCTATTAAATTCAAAATAAAAGAAGTGGTTAATTAAAAGGCATTAATAAAACAGATTATAAGGATATGTTGCTAATTACTTCAACCTTTCTTTCATCCTTTCTTTTATTTTTATTTTTATTTTTTTGAAAATTTTTTGGTTGGTGGAGCAAATCAAGAAATGTTATTTACTTATGTTAATTGCTTTTTGTAAACAAACACAATACATACAATAGTAAGTTTCTGTCAAACCACCAATATGGCATGTCACGAATTGCAGGCACCACGTTGGTTTGCCCATAAAAAAAATTTCCAAAAAAATAAGACACATTTTTTACAATCGTGGAACCACATGTTTTGGTCTCCAAGGTAATAACATGTCTAGTTTATAGGAGTACGTTTTCCCTCTTCTTGTGCGTGAAACACAACACTATCCCTAATTAACCTTTTCAAGGATTATTATTATTATTATCATCTTATTAACATTTCTTCTAATTAATTTATCACACCAACCAAGTAAGTAGATCAATAATTGATCATGTATAATCCATCCGTTTTCAACAAAAGAAAAATTGACTGGGTTTTCTAATGATTTTTTGCTCAAGCTATAATCAAAACTTGAGAAAATTATAACAATAGGTCCCTTTACTTTGATTTCATTTTGTTTTGAGTCCGTACACTTTTATTTCATTGTTCTCAATCTGTTTAGTTTGATCCGTCTATAAGATTAGTCCCTATATTTTTTAAAATATATAGAAGGGTTAACCACATTATTGTTGACACAATGTACTTGATCTTGCTTTTGCGTCTCACATTTGGTTCAATCCAAACATACAAGGAAGCTTTTTTTTTTTTGGCCCCTCACCTCTTTGTTTTTAACCACGCCTTGCCAATTTAATTTTTTTTCACATCAGCAAAGGAGTTAGCATAGTTACATCGAAATTAACAACGTCAGTGCCATTTCATGTTCGTTATGTAAATTTTTAAATTTGTAAGAATTTATGTTGCAGATGAATCAAACTAAACTATTGAGAACACTGAAATAAAATGATAAGGACTAAAAATAAAATATACAATCAAAATAGAGGGATCAATTGTTGTATTCTTCTAGACTCAAAAAGGAATGTAAGTGTCATGTCATTTTCATCGCTTGGCTTCTTATTTTTTGAGATAAATGCAATCAACCATGTTAAACACGCCAAATTAAAAGGAACAAATAACTAATTAAAGTCACTTCTTCATTGTTGTATGCAAAATTCTGGGTCATGTGGTTTTAACTTGACCAATTGCACCACGCATGTGCATATTAATTAATGACCAAGTTTTTAAGTTTTGTTTTGGTGAAGTCAAGTTATTTGATTCATATCAACAACGAAATTTGAATGAGAATTCCAATTTAGGATATTCACTCAATATTACAAGAGAAGGAAGCCCAAAGGAAAATTTCATCCAAAAATACTAGCATGTTGGGTGGGAAGGTCTTTTAAACTTATAAACCACATTTTATTTGTAAGGCTCCCAGATATAGGACTTGTGACAATATAATGCTACCCCATTTGAGAGTCGACATCCCCGCAGTTTATTTCATAGCACTTCACTTTACCTTTCCCTAGTTAAAACCATCTGTGGGTAGGTCTTTCCATGATATGGGCCTCTTAATGAAAGCACTAGTGTTATAAGTATCAGTTTAAAAGGAAAACCTACATCAAAAGATTAGTCTATTAGGTGAAAAAATATCCATTAAACTTATAAACTACACTCCATTTATGAGGCTCCATGACATAAAATTCATGACAATATGTGTGTTTGTGCGCGTGCGCACTTGTTAAGAGGTTTATGTTGATTATGAACAATCATTCATTGACTTCCATGACTCAAAGATCTAAAATTTGAATTTTGTAATAAAAATGAAATTTAAGTATTATTGAGTCTAATTAAAAATAGTTTTCATTCATTTGACTTAAAAGAAATCAAGTCGTCTTTTACTAGATTAAACCACCATTCTTAAAAGTTGTCTTATCTGCAAGGGTGTGATTCATGTTACACAAGAACATGGATCTAAATATCATAGCACATGCAAGGACTTTGTTGCTGACTACTTTGTTAGTGCTTCTGTAATTCTCTTTTTAAATCTTAAGATTTATTTTTTAATTGCTCATGAGTATTCTTGTATAAAATATAATCCTATTCAAGATACAGTTTATCATTAAATGTGAGTATATCTTTTAACAGGAATTTAAAGTTCAATTCTTCATATTATGAGAGATCTTAGCCAACACCTTCCACTATACCTAAATTTGGTTAGTTACCTTAAGATTTATTATAACCTTAGAGAGCTTGTAAAACCTAATTAATCTAATTTTGTTTTAGAGAATTAAATATATTAATTGAAGAAATGAAAGGGTAGAAAATTAATTAAACATAAATGCAAGGATATGTGAGGAAGCTTACATTACACAGGAATTAAGGACCACCTGGTTAAGGTTAGGTCACATGATTGCCCAAACCCGAAATGGCCAGGTAGATATCAGACTTCATCCAGCTTTCATACATCGACACGTGGCACTGTTGCATATTAAAAAGATTAAAAAAAAACCTTATAATTTAATTTCCCTCTCCCTTTTAAGGATGCTCCCACATTTCCCAGATTTTCCCATGATCACTTTGATCCTATGCTTCTCAACTCCCCTTTTTACCCACCTTCTTACCTCCACCGTCCGATCTCAATCACACCTTTTTCGACATTCCATCTCTCTAGCTGGAAGAAAAAGGCACATTCACACCCACACACAGTGAGAAACAGTCTCTCTCTCTCTCTCTCACATCACATAATTATCACATTTCGCTCCCCTTTGGTATATATACACGCCCAGGCGTACGTAGCAACCCAAAACCAGAAAACCAGATTTTAATTTTGTGAGAGAGAAGAGAGGGGAGAGAGAGAAAGAGAGAGATGGGAAGGGGAAGAGTGGAGTTGAAGAGAATTGAGAACAAGATCAACAGGCAGGTGACCTTCGCAAAGCGAAGGAACGGTCTATTGAAGAAAGCTTACGAGCTTTCCGTTCTTTGCGATGCGGAGGTTGCTCTCATCATCTTCTCCAATAGAGGAAAGCTGTACGAGTTTTGCAGTAGTTCAAGGTATTCCACTAAATCGCAAAATCACACACACACACACACACACACACACACATGTATATGTATATGTAAATTCACTTTCACTTTGTTTTTCTTTTGTTTATTTCTTCAAACACCTTATATTCACAGCACAAAAAAGGAACCTCCCTGACTCTTTCGTCTTTCTTCTTTCCTTCATTTCTCGGTTTTGCATAGTTTCCATTTCTTCGTATCTTTCGCTTTTAATCCTGATGACGATGCTTCCGAGATCTTCTACTTGATTTTTCTTTTGTTTTTTTTTTCCTGTGATAACCCAGGGTTCCGGATTTTTTTTTTTTTTGAAAGATGAGAAAGTTCATTTTCTTTTTTTCACTCTTTCTATTTTTTTTCCGTTTCGGTGAATGTCTCGGCGTTTTTAGCAGGTTGAGTGATTCTGCGATGCCATTGCTGTTAGATCTGCAACTGGAAACGCCATAAAAGATAAAGAAGGAATTACTGTTATATTGACTTAGGTTTTTCTTTTGGAAATCTTCTTCTGGTTTTTCTGAAGCTCTCTCCTCAGCTTTCTTTTCACGCTTCGCTCTTTTTCTCTCCCAAGTCTCGTCCCGGCGTCAGAAGTTTCCGTTTCCCGTTTAATTCAACAGATCCGGCTATGGCTCTAGTCAGACTTGTTTTTAATGTAATTTACGTGCTAGAAAAGGAGAAGCACATAGATTGTCCTATTTTTCTGAATCTTCAGAAGCTGGTATAGATTATTTTCTTGGTTAGATGTTAGGAAAAATTGCCAAGAATCAGTGAGACAGACCTAATCATGTCTCATTTAGGGCGAAATATATGCGCCTGCAAGCTTTTTTCTTCTTTTCTTTTCGAAACCAGTCTTGTTTTCTAACTTGTTTCCATGCTTATGTCTCTCATATTCAAATCTCTCTGGCCTAGGGTTTCGTTCTATTTCTAAATTTAAGTCTTCGTTTTCCTTCGGATCTCTCCATTTTTCTCCTTCTTCCCTATGTCTCGTTTTCAACATGCTTTATCAGGGACTATTTTTAACTTTTCTGCTTCGGATCGATCATCTCCGATCTGTAACCACAAATTTCAAAGTTTTGATAGCTCGCTCGCTTTTGCCATTTCTCTTGGCAGTTGATCAAATCTGATGATAGACAATATCTTGACCTTTGCTTTTGTTAAATCAGAATGGTCTTTTCTCATAAAGCCTGTAATACTTCTCGAGCATACACTTATTGACGCGAGAGGATTCTCAGAATTTTGTTTTTCCCCAAGCTACTAAATTTGCCAAGTTTTCTCACTCTCTAGAAAGCAATTCTGCGCCTTTCAGATCTCAATGTTTCTCAATATGTGCTCTATGCTTCCATATGTCTAATTAAAGGGTGGTGCGAATGAGCCATCTATTGTTCATAGGACATCCAAGTTTTTTTTTTTTTTTTTTAAATGGTATCAATACTGAGTTAATGCTTTTACTTAATGGATATCACACATGAGCTCCACAAGTCCCATTGGTTTTTACATGTATTATTTCATCGTAGTACTGTTTATGCTGATTATTGATATTTGTGTAAAAGAAGACATTCTTTTACCCTCCCATGTAATTTATTTTATTTTAGTCAAACTGCTAATTTACCATCTTTTCCCCACAGATTTTTATGGAGCATAGTAGACTTGCCCTAATTATTGAAGGTTTAACACTATATATATATATATATATATATACGTGTCTTGTAATTTATTTGCGTTCCTAGAAGGCCAATGGAGTAGGGAAAAAGTAGTTCTTTCATTATTGATCTTAGAATTTCTGTGAACTCATGTTTTTTTTTATTCTATGAGAAAAACTATTTCTTTCATAATTAATAATTTTAGTTTGGTGGAGCAAATTTCAGAGTCAAAATATGCCTTAACAGAAGGCATGAATAAATTCTTTTTGGTACCTGCCGTTTGTTGTACAGGTCTTGTATGTTTGCGTTATATCAGGAATGATTTTATTACTTTTGATTTGACTAATAATGTTTCAAAACATAGACTAGTCAAACTAATCATTGACTCGGTGCAAGGAAGGGAAAAAAAGAAAAAAACAAAGTCAATTTAATAATCATCATATGGTCGAGTTTAGATAAAACTTTGGATAACACAATTATTCGTGTTATTAATATTAATATAAAATATTTAATTATAGAATATGAAAATGATTTACAGTACTGACTCAAGTTTCCCAATCCTTCATATGCTATTTATTTATTTGGATTCTCAAAATGACCGCAGCTACTTCCTTATATTTTCGGGATTTTTAATTGTATACTACTATATGATATTCGTTGTGGAAATGATCTAAATGTTGTGGACGTTGTTAATGCAGCATGCTCAAAACGCTAGAGCGGTACCAGAAATGCAACTATGGAGCACCTGAGCCTAATGTCTCAACAAGGGAAGCCTTGGTAATTTTTTTTTTTTTGGGACCATCAAGTCTTGAAAATTATCTCTTTATCTCATCTTTTAAATATTTTTTGGGTATCTACATCCATTTAAAATTAAGATAATACAAACTTAAATATAAGTAATAACCTGTTAAAAAACATTGAAGTTCATTAATTAAAATGAATTATTAATTATGATCTAAAACAAAAATGTTTAAATCCATGCAAAATTCTAATTCAAATCCCTTATATTAGACTTCTAAAAAAGTGAGATAATTTAGGAGCGAAAGAGATTGGATCAAATCCTTCACTCTTAAGGTGAGTCTCATACAGTCAACTTTTTCTTTTTTTAAGAGATAAGTGAGGATCGTCGTCGGCCAAGAAAATGCTTGCTATAACTTCTTTTCATTATGTTCTCATATGAGTAAATGTAGCCTCATATATTACTTATTGGTTTCCAAAAAGGCTTGCCTTATTTCTTTAATTTCCTTAAATACTTTTTAATATATACTTTGCCTCAACTTCTTTCCCAAATTGCTGGCAAGAAAAAACTTATGTTTCAGTTTCCTGATCTTGTAGCATTCTTGTGGTTCCTTGCCCCATGAACCAAACAACTACTTCTGCACCTCTTGATTTCTTCTTCAGACATATTCCATATCTAGTAGTTAACTATTGAACACTTATATCTCATTACAACCAAAAATGCTCTCAAGTTCATATATAAAAATTGATGAGGATGTCATTCTTCTTCAACTTAGTTTATTTTCCATATACACCTAAGTGGTCGGGTAGATAATGCATTAAATTTTTTTGCAAATAACTTGAAATTATTTTCGATTAACAAATAACAGTAGCTAGATAAATATAGAACGAATAATCAATATATCTATTTAATTAGGCCAGCAATACACCAATTCAACCAGTGAGGAAACTTAATATAAAGCAATATGCCAACTAATAATAAATCAAAAGCTTAAAAAAATGTTCTTCCTTTACCGAAAAAACATTTTTTAAAAAAAGTCTTTTTCCTACTGAACTAGAATATGCAGTACTGTCGTCAATATTCGGGGTATTGTGTTGGTGTTAAGGTGTGTGTTCCTGCCACATGTCACGTGTTCAAATAGATATTAAGAGGAGAAAAGAATATGCAGTGTCAAATAACATATAATTAAGTAGGAGAAACAAGACGTGCCATGCTGAAGGTAAAAGTCAGATGTAAAAAGACTCCATAATTTTGTGATGGGAATTGTAGAACACTCATACAATTTATGTAAAGAGGCCTTTAATTCTTACCTGATCAGTGAATTGAAGGGAATTATGAGGCACTCATACATACAACAATAACAAGTCTTATTCCACTAAATGGGATTGACTATGTATGTGGATTATATGATATCATTGTACTGCAGCACTAATACCTACAAGAAGAAGAAAAATATCGATGAGAAAAAAAGCAAAGATTCTCTAGTTTTTGAGAGACGAGGCTCTCCTCATTAAGTCATGATTTTCCCCCCCTGTAGTTGCTCTCAGTATCCTTCTCTATCAGAATTCTATCTCAGTCCTACTTGTATACCTTGTAATCTTCCCTTCTATTTGGTGTTTTCTTTCTGTTATACACGTACCCTCTTAGGTCATGGCCATGGACCCATGAGTTTATTTTGTACCCGCTCACATGCAACAATTACAAGACGATTTTTAACACTCAACCACGAGCGCCAAGTTTTCCCCTAACTTAATCTAAATGACTATATATGTTGGTGTTCACGCACTTACTAATAATGACTCCTGTTCAATTAAACCGGATTGCAAGAAGGTTTCTACTCATAATTCGCATGATTTTCCTGCACTTTCTCAAAATTACAAGACTATAACGAGGAAGGACATATAAATGATAAGCTGGATTCTTTAATGCTATAAAGGGTACAAGACAATAGAGAGAGGCAAGGAATGCTGCAGGACAATAGAAAGAACTAAACTCTTGATACTTGTTAGCTATATATGGTTCAAATTCTGGTTTATTTTTTGGACCCATTGGCAACTTCTGGGGGGAAATATCCAATCTTCGGACAACTCAAGTATATAGTCTTCCTTCTCCACTTCTGCGGAGTTAACTCAGCATTATTTCCTTTCTCAATTTCAAAAAGTCTAATAATTTAGGTTTACAAATATTTTTGCTTGATTGAATTGACCCTTTCTTGCATTTGAGTTGGTTTTCTTTCTAGGCTGATCATTTTGAGCCATGATATGGATGACTTCCTTCTGGCACAAAGAGAGAGTGAGATGGACGTTTCCTTGAGACCTTGACTATAGCTTGTTTATTTCCATATTGATTGGCTGTTCTTATTTTCAGCACGTGAACTAATCTCGATAAATAGAGCGCTTTAGGTTTCTCAATATGTGGATAGCGCAGTTTTAGGTCTGCTCTAAGTAAGGATCAATAAGTCAATATTTTCAATGAGATAAAATCAATTTTAAATTAAGTTAATTTCATTTCAATTTTATAGAAGGATGGCAAACCTGCATTAGCTTCCCCATACCATCACTTCGTGTTTTTCCTTCGTAAAACAGTGGTCTAGTAAACAAAATGTTATTCACCTCGTGAAATTAGTTAATCTTCCCGTTGTGCTGTATCTCATGTTCAATATCAGTAGAAGGGTGAAATTGAAATTTGAAGTCGACTGCCCAATGGAACAGTTTGTGCTTTTAATACCCAAAAAAATAGTGTAGGTTTAACTAACAAAAGTTGATTCAATTAGTATGGATTTAAATCATAACTCATAAGATTGTAAGATCAAATTCTATTGTTGATGTGAGGACTTTATTAATTTCAATATCACTAAGTTTCATCATAACCCCCTGGGGTTCCTTCGAGTTTTGCTTGATAATTCTTTTGGATGCTTGCTTGCTCGTATTGTCTTCCCAACTTTTTGTTGTTTTAGGAAATTCGGCAAACATATCCATCCATCATAAGGATCAAGTTTGACGTCCCCTTGTACGTAAACCAAAGCAATAACAGATAGAAGAATGTAAACTAGGCTTATCTAAATTTTGTTGAGGGAGGATTTCAAGGAATCTGTATATTGTCTCATTAAGAATTTGAGAATGAATTTGGCTGCTGATCCAAGATCGACGCATGAGTTAGTAACATTATACTCTATATATCACTTAATTGTCAGAGTATAGATTAGAAACTTTATCTCCTTTCCCTGCGAAAAAGGAGGACCAAAAAAAAAACTTCGCTATTATCAAGGTCTTTACTTCTCAAGTTTTGACCATTGATTTATATCCCTTTTCCTCCCTCCAACACCACCACGGACACATAGTAAACATGTCAGTGACGTTAGGCCAAGATGTTATTAATGAAAAGCTATGGATTTTGATACCAGCCATATTTGTTTGGATCATTAAAAGGAAAAAAGTTAGCCTTACGAATTAATGTCTTCAGTAGTGATGTTAACATTATGAAGACCTTGTTTGTCTGTCTTCCTCGCGCAAGACATCCGAGCTTAAACGTTAATGGCTGCCGTTGAGATTAAAGACAAACAATATTACTCGATCTTTTGGAAAACAATCGATCATATCCATCATGATAGGAGTAATGGAGAGCAATTTACTTAAAAGAGAAAAGAAAAGGAGGAGAAAAAAACATTCTTGAATTACCACAAATATGGGCTTGCTGGTTTTAGACTTCCATGTAACTAATTTTACTAGTGGGGGTGTAGGAGTTAAGCAGCCAACAGGAGTACTTGAAGCTGAAGGCACGTTACGAAGCCCTGCAACGATCTCAAAGGTATTGACAATTGATTCTAGCTCTATGTCATGCTCGAATAATACATTATCATTATTTTTCCCGAAAGAAGAGCTATTTAATGATGCACTAAACTCTCACTATACCGTACAACAGGAATCTTATGGGAGAAGATCTGGGACCTCTAAGCAGCAAAGAACTCGAGTCACTTGAAAGGCAGCTTGATTCCTCCTTGAAGCAGATCAGATCAACACGGGTACTTCTTTTTTTTTTTTTTTGTATGGGGAAAAAATTAAAGAAGCTTTTTGATCTTCAACTTGAAGAATGATCATCTTCATTCCTCAAACCTTAGCCTACATAGTATTTTGAAATATGATATCAAGGAAAACTGGGATATGAAATATGACAAATATTCTGATTTCTCTCTAGTCTTTCTTTGCTCACGATCAGTGTAGCATTTAGTTATTCTTAAGCTCGTAAACACCAGCCATTAGTTGTCTTCTATCTATATAATGTTTTTGGTTTTATAACTCATTTGTTTTACAGACACAATTTATGCTGGATCAGCTATCTGATCTTCAACGAAAGGTACGATAGACAATTTTGCTTTCATAGGTCAATGCTTGCCCTGTTTGTATGGTCTTCCGCCACTTTGTTTTGTTCACTGATCACATTCATTTATGCAGGAACACATGCTAGGTGAGGCAAACAGGTCGCTTAGACAAAGGGTAAGAACCACTTCAAGCTTTTAAAAATTTGTAACTCCCTCATAGTAGGCTTCCTTTATAGTCCTCCCATTTAATCATATAACCCCTCTCCGGTTCAAAATATAAGCACTTTCTCTCAATTAATCTCGATTTAAAATATAAACAACTTAGTACATGTAAAAGATTTTTTTGTTTCATTTCACCCCTAGTATTTATTAACTTAAATCTTTATGTAAATGTATCACCTACTCATCATGGAGTGTATTAGTAATTGTGATAGGGGTAAAAAAAAAACACAATACATACAAACACATATAGATATTTATGAGAACGAGGAATATGCAAATTTTCCCTAAAATCTGTTTATATTTTGAACATGAAGGAGTACTATTTTTTCCATTTATTGTTCTCTCGATTGCCCAACACCAAAAGAAAATAATAATAATAATGAATTTGGTTTGCGTTCTGCAGCTGGAGGGATACCAAATTAATCCACTCCAATTGAATCCTACTGCTGAAGAAATGGGATATGGGCGACAACCACCTCAACCTCAGGATGACGGCTTCTTTCATCCCTTGGAGTGTGAGCCAACCTTGCAAATTGGGTATGCTCCCTTCATTAAAGGCTTTTAGCAATAGATTGTTTAATTATTTCATCTGATTACATTTTTTAATTATTTCAAAAGGACCAATGCCACTGTCCCACATTAAACTAAATTTATGACTGTGTCCGCCACCCTCCCTTAGAATATGAATAATCACGATACACGTGATCTTAAAACTAGATACACTACTCCTTATGATTATCTGACTTGTAGTTGTTATCAATCAGTCAAGATCAGGTGCTTAAATTGTTAGAATCATCTAATATATTTGTGGGAGCCAAAATTAATATATTGGAATGTACTAAGCACTCTTGAAAGAATTTAATATCAAATAAGAACTTAGATGGATCGGATAAACTTCACTTGTTAATTGTTAATATTTCTTTGTCCGAAATCCTAGTCAAATATTCAAAGGTCCTTTAATGATATCTTTCCTAAAATATCCAATCACTTTGTATTAATTGGTTGGGACTGCATGATTAGGGACGATCCAAGTTAGCCATGTTGTATTTATATAAATGTAGAATATAAGTATGTTTGAGTGGTAATATAATTACTGTTGTTATATAATTAAATGAATAATGGGAAAATGTTGAAGCGGATGCAGATATCAGGCAGATCCGGTATTAGTGGTTACAGCAGGGCCAAGCATGAGTAACTACATGCCAGCAGGATGGTTACCATGAGATAGATTATGAGGACCAACCAAGATGTGGTTTCAATTTTATTTTAATTAAAGACGAAGAAAACAGAGAAAGTGAACATGGTAATGCCATGCCATATATTCAAGGACTTTTCTATAAGCAGGTTATATATATTCACTATTTAACTAGGAACATTAATGTAAGTAGTGTTTTCTGCTGTGTGTACGCGCTTCCATAAACTGCGCTAGATTCCTTGTTTCTTCCCTTTTCCTTTATTAATAAGTGATTAGTGTCTGCACCAACTATATTCCCCTAATTACACATAATCCTTTCTATATAATTTTAGCTCTCTCTTTTAGATAATTATATGCACATATATATATATATATACACATACCATTTGTATTAATGTAACTCCTTGGGATCATAATTACTGTTATTCTTCATGAGAACTTAGACGCGTTATCGATAATTCTATATCACTTGACTTATAGTTTTGGCATTAGAATTATATTGCAGTGGGGGAATAAAAAAGCAATTAATTAAGGTGGAAGATTCAAAATATTTGAATTTGGATTAATCCGCCAAAAGCTACAGAGTTAGTAAAAGAAAAAGGTATTTTTTTGTTTTTTTAAGTGAAGCTTGATTCAGAGCACTTCATCAAATAACTGTTGTGTATGCACTTTTTTTTTAGTTGTCGATAGGTATTCTTCTAGTATACCAATCACATTTATTATTAGCATGTGATGCACAATTATTTATCAGTTTTTAAAGTCTCTTTTATAATAAGAAGTGCATCTAGAAAAGTGCACCAAATCCAAGTTTGTAGACCGAGATCTCAATATGAACTAGGTTGCTTCTGTTTCCTTCCTTTCCACTTATTTCTTTCCCCAATTTCCATTATAAGCGACTAGATGAGGGAAATATAAAGAAGGAAATGAAGAGAAAAAGCAAGTACCAAGAAAGATGAAGTAGATCTATCTACTTACCTATTATTGTCTCTTGTCTGAAACGCAAGGAAGATAATTTTTTTATTTTTGTGGTTAAGGACTAGGGGGCACGGAGGTAAGGGTAAACCCATCAAACTCGGATCACTCTCCTCACCACTATCCCCCATCAAGGCACACCCATCACTTACAATCAGGCTCGAGCAAAATTCGAATTCAAAATAGAGCCTCATTGTATACTCTAAACAAACCAAACAAATCAAGCAGCTCAACTAACCTTGTGTCAAACACTAATTCGCCCAATGTGACCCCTTTACTTCTAGTCTAGGTCTCCTGCATTACTTTGTTTTTTACTCCCATCACCAGAGCACTTACATTATACTCACCTCTAAGGAATGAACAGTGACTTCCTTGCAAACTCTTTAATCTTCTAAGTTTCGATAGCTTAGGCATTCTATAGGACCTTGGAAATTCACAATTGCTAATCAATATTCTAATTGAGGAAAAATCTCCTCCAGCACGCCTGGCAAACACAAGAGGCAAGATGCTCTGAAACCAGACCAAACAGTAACTTTACCAATAAAGTTGAGTCTAGCAAAAAAAAAAATTGTTCCTGACATGACAACGTTGTAAATTAATTAATGTTTGAATCCTTGCAATAAAATAAATAAATTTAATAATTCAAAAGTTATTTTATTTAAAATGAATACAAATTTTTAATATAATTTAAAGCTCATTATTTATTTAAAATATTATTCTTTTCAGCCAAAAAAAAAAATCTGGAGGGAAATAGCACCGCTTTTGGAGGGATTAGTGAGTGTGTGGTGATTATCCATAGTAGTGCTGACCACTGTTTTGTTTTCTCGTCCTCACTTTTGTGAGTCACTCAACATTTTAAGCAGGAGAGCCAACAAGGTTGGGCCCCATTGTTTCCTTTTCATACGTGGCATTTCCCACGTTAACATATGATTCTTTTTCTCTTTTTCTTCCTGATTTTGGAGGAGCAGACTTTCCTCCTCGGAGAATAAATGAGAAATTGTTATAAATTTAAACTGTTAAATTAAATTTAATATTTTTAAAAAATATGAATTTAATTTGAACATTTTAAATATATAGTAAATGAGTGGTAGAGAGAAACCCACCCTATTTTTGAAAGGGTGAATGTCTATTTTTTTGCCCCACAAAACAACTTTTTATTAATTTCCACTACCTAACAATATTGTCTCACCTAATTTTAACATCTAATCATCCCCTATCAATTATGTACATATATAATATCAAAGTAGGAAGATGTCATATGTTATGAACAATACAATTGAGATCCTGAAATCCATACAAGTCTAGGATATTTTTCTTTATCAAAATTAAATAGGAACTTGTTGTAAATTATGAACAGTACAATTCATTTTGTATTCCATACAAGTGTAGGGTTGTAATTTGATTTCTCATCAACTAAAATAATTAATATAATTCTGATTATTCTATAACATATGTTGAAGGTTGGCAACCACGAAACTGAAGGTGAACCACGTGAATTAAATATTAAATATAATATAATATAATATAATTTATATGAATATGAATGAATCAGCCTTGCGTGTCTCCCCAATCTATCCCCTCACTCAACCTCATAATTAGTTCAAAGCTGTCATTCATATATTTTACATATCTTTTTGTATATTTCTTTCATGCAATAATCCAATTCTCATGTCAAGTTGGTGGTTGATCAATCACAATTGATTTTCCAAACATAATTTTTTTATATTTACAAATTTTAACACTCAATTTTATTTAGGGAAAATCAATTTTTAAATTTTTAAATTTTTAAATTTCTACTTCTATAGATAGATTAAAACTTAATATATATATATATATATATATAACAATAATGTAAGATTTAAAGTACATTTTTATTTTAAAAGTGTTTTGGATAAGGTACGGGAAACCTAAAAAAATTATGATACAATGTAATAAATAATATTTTAAAATTGGCGCAATATCAGTTGTTGTAATCTCTTGAGATGAATATAACGAGTGGTGCAAATCCTAGAACTATGGGTTGGTAATCTAAGTATTGGGTAAGAAGTTCAACCTGTATACACGAAGATGGCCTGCATCCAATGTGAGGAACATCGAACTTTGAAATTTAATTTTGACCTGCCAAGTAACTTAGATTAAAAATTTAAATCTTTGGAATTTCAATGCTTCCTGTGGCTATTTCAATATACACCTTCCTTTTTTAAGTATAAGAGAAACTATTATGTATAGTTTGTTTTCATTTGTTAACAACACTATAAATTTCAAAAAATATTTATCACATTTTCCCTGTCCTTTATAAAGTAAATAAACACTAGACAAATTTATTTTACTAATTATAGAGATAATTTAATCCATTTTTTTCAATTTAAGACATAATTATTATACTTTATCAACATTCTAAAAATGTGTAAATCAATTATTTTCTTCTATATTTGAAAATGAAGGAAGTATGTTATTATTGGATTGGAATTATTATTTGTATATATGATGTGATGTGTTTGTTTTTGGTTCATCGAGCTTGTTATGAGGCCCACTGATGGCTATAATGTCCTCCAACATTAATCATATTTAACTACAATTCCTAAAACCAATAATTAAAGAAGATACTAAAGAATAATGGGATCTGCATAAAAAAATTTTCAAAAATTAATTAAGAATACTTTTTAGTGTTGGGATTTAAGGATGGAGGTAGAGAGGGACTTGAGTGAACATAAATTTTTTTTACCCAGTCAAGTTATAATACACTCAAGTTATAATACACTCAAACACATAACTTTTGCCATAACTTTTCCTAACTCTTTCTCTCTCTTACCTCACTTCTACCCTCTTACAGACTCTATACTAACACACATCCACACTTTCCTTTCTCCTCTCACCTTGCATCACTTCACTTTTGTTTTTTTCCCTCTCTCTCTCCACACACACCACTAAATGATGCGCGCACCCACATTATATATATATATATATATATATAGAGGTGAGTTATGTCAGTCAAATCATTCATCCATAAGCATTTGAAAATTTCACTTCTTCATCGTCATTGCATTTTCTGACTAAGGAACGAAATATCCAAATCTGCACACTCAAGAAACATATGGAATATTGGCGATAGGGGAGAAAAGGTGTTGATATCCAACACTCCCCATCAACAACCACTCTCTCTCAATCTTCACATTGCTTCTTCATTTCTTCAATCTTTCAATTGGTTTCTTGAACATGTCACAGTCAAATTCCACATCGTGGAGGAAACTCACACGCATCCAATTTTTGTCTTGTGATTGAAACATTTTTATTCTTGACTTATGTATCTTCATAGATCTTGGTGATGGTGAAGACTAGTCTTGCTGTCCATCTTCATGTTCATATTTTTTCTTAATCGAACTCTTAGCATTCTCTTCCCAGACTTCATTAGCTTCTTCCGTGATGCAAAATGCTATTATTTCTTCTCCACTAAAATCTTCTATCGCCATCTCTTCTTTAAGGGCAAATGGTGCTTCGAAATCCCATTCTTACTCATTGTCATTTTTATTAGAGGTGATAACATTTCCTTCAATCCCTCTATGCCAACAATCTCACGCGAATTGGCCAATCTTCCTGCAATTATTATAACACTAAACTTTCTTTTAACAATTTTTCTTTTTATCAAGCTTGTCTCAATCTTTGCAAGCTCCCCCTTGATGTGAGCTTCTATTGTGACATCCTCTATACCTCTCATTTTTTCATCTTCTATCATCTCCTTGCTTCTTTGTATCGGAATCATCCCATTGATCTATCTTTTTGAAAAAGAGAGCCTTTTCCTCATCTTTTAAAGAAACTTTGGACATTTGTGCATCCAAAGCTTATTGATTAGCTAGGATACTGTCCAACTCAGCTGAGGTTCCTTAAACCAACCTCTAGGCCATAATATTTTGGATTTAACCCCGTAACAATAATTCTCCTCATCCACATATTCATAATAGGATTCCTTGGATCTAAGTTTGAAATCTCATTGCAAATAGATTTAATTTTTGAAAAGTACTCATTTACTCGCATATCATTTTGTTGAATAGAGGCAAGCTTGTTTTTCAACAATTGCAACTTTGCAACATTTGCTCTTGTAAATAGCAAGGACAAGTTTAGCATCTTTACCTCTTTGGCATATCTGATGAATTGTGCCTCAACAATAATAGCTAGTATGTAAAGAGATTTCTTGACTCTTACCTATCACTTCTTCAATTCACTTGGATTATTTAGGGGTATAGTATGTCATCTCCATTGATGAAATCCCAAAGATTCTGACCTCCAAGGTAGAGCTCAACTATTGTACGCCATACATGATCATTATCATTGTTTAGCTTCTTCACTAAAAAAGCATTCAACATCAAATCATCTCAATCATGTTCAATAACTTACGTCCAATCACATCATCATCAACAAGACAATCTTAAACAACCCACATTATTTATTTTTTTTTAACTTTCAGTTACTTCAACTATTAGTTTACTATACCAAGAGTATAATTTGGATTCCAAGAAAGTCCACAAAAAGTCCATGAGCTTTAAAAATAGTTAATAACAATTTTAATTAATTATCTCTTAATTGTGATTAAGGCTTAAGACCTTAATTTATTGATTTTGACAATAAACAATCATATTTTAAGCTTTCATTAGCTTATGTAACCCATATTAAGCTTAACTCACATTGTTAAACTTCTCCATTAGCTTAATATATTATAATTTCATTAAGGTTATCTCTAAACATATCATTAACACTAATAAGTAATGCCGTTAATTTAAACCAATGATTAAAAACTTAGAACAGCACCTATAGACTCTATTGAAGTCATAGGGATGACAAAAACTTGGCTAACAACTTGGACAGCAACTTTGTTCCCTAGAAAACTTGAAGAGATAGTGTAGAAGAGGGAGGAGGAGAAGAGAGGAGACCTACTCAAGGTGTAGATAGCCTAAAATCACCTTCAAACACCCCTAAAATAAGAACCCTAACAAATCTGCACGTCCCTCCTTAGTTTTTTTCTCAAACTCTCTTATGTTTTGCTACCTGATTCATGTTTTGCAAATTTAAATTTCATTCCATCTATAGTGATGAACTATGCTATCTACCATGGTAGATGATCAAAAATGAAAACATTCACTTAAACCCATTAAATTAGGTTAAAAGTGACCCAATTACTAGGGTTCAATTTTAACTCCTATTTAAGGGGTCTAATGGACCCAAAAGGTCATCCACAATTACTTTAATTGACTAATTAAACCTTTTAATTAATTTAATTAATCCTAAAGTAAATTTTGGGATGCTACAATGGCTAATAGCATTAGGGGAAGTTTTGGACACTTTGTAGGTAGGAATTTGAGAAAAGGTGATTATTTCAGTTTCAAGTTTCCAACTCTATCATATCATATTATTTATAGTCAAGACCGTATCATTACTTAGTTCATTGAATAAGCTTTTAATGGGTGTATGCTTGAACCACATCAATTGAGCATCAGTTTTGAAAAATATATTTGCTAGAAGTTTTCCCATGTGTGGTGTCATGACAATAAAGCTGTCATGGTTTTTCCATAATGAACCACAATGCTTGGCGTCCTAGCCGCAACGCTTGATACAAACAATGGAGCGCCCTCTCTTTGTCGTCCATCATAGTCATGTTGTGTTTGTTGTGACGAATGGTGCACTCCTAGAATGTCTTCTTTGTGTCATCTGCCATTGTAGATACACTTTTAACCATGGCATATATGTCAAGTTGGGCCTTACTTATTTTTATTATGGTGGATCTTATTTAACCTTGTTTGATCATTTTCTACCTTTTTTTTCGTAAACTAAATTACAAGTCATTTCTTTTTCAATCATAATAAACCTTAATACTTATTTTTTTTTTGTTTTTTTACCACGGTTGACATATTTTAACCATGGTTAAACTAAATTTATATTAGTAAGTTCAAGATTAGGGTATTAGCAGAGGGTGTAACAAAGAACTTAGCATCTATTGCATGTAAGGTTTAGGAAGTGTTATGTATCTTGGATAAAGGATATCTCTTGTCCATAGTAATTGTATTAAGTGTGTTTTGTTTTTTTTTTTTTTTGGTTTAAGTATTGAGGTGTTTAAGGATTGTCTATTTCACAAAAAAAAAAGTTAAATTACTTGATTTGACGTATTTTAAATTTTATGTATTCCTAATATATTTTTTAATTATTGGATGTGAAACTTTTTTCTAATATTTCCCCTATTATATACTTCCTCTATTTAAAAATATAAGATATTTTTTAAAGAGTTAGATGTTTAAAAATGTAAGGCATTTTTAGTCTTTCAAAATGTAATCATTACCTTTTTTCAAAAGTACTCTTATTAATGAATGTCTTTATATTTATTGTAGGGTGTTTAATAGGGGTAAATATAAAAAGATATGATTAATTTTAAAATAGGTAACTACTTTATTGGAGGTAAAATTTAATTAAAAATATCTTATATTTTTAAACAGAGAGAGTATATATATATATATATATATATATCACTTCCCATTGATATTTATATTTGGATCACAATCAAATGTTGTGGATATATGATACTTGCATATTTTTGCTAGCTGGATGTAATTTTCAAAACTATTTCACAATAGTAATTTCCAATAATAATAAAAAAAGGACATTTTATAAAATAAAACCAATCATTATAATTCAATGGTTATTCATACATTAATATAAAATTTGAATTATTTATCCGTATTTATTATCAATGCTTATTATGAAAAAAATCTATATTTTTATATTTTTATTTGGCCTGTCAAACGATATTAAAATTTTCTAAATTTCTTTTTTAAATTAAAAAAATTAGCTCCCTGGAGAACTTATCTTAGTTTCTTAAAATAATATTTCTTCAATGCACAACATAATTTTTTAATTAAATATTTTAATTTTTAATAAGAATTAAATATTTATTAAAAATTTTGAATAAATAGTTTTCAAGGCTAAAAATAAAAAGAATTAAAAGAGAGAAGACCAACACGGTTGCACGGGTTGGGTATACTGTTATAACGAAAGAGATTTAAGAAAATTATCCCAAATTAAACTCAAAAATACTTAGAAAAGAGACCTAGGTGAGAAAAGGCATTAGAATAATGAAAAAATTACACCTAAATCTCATAAAAAATTTAATTATCAAAAAATATTGTAAAATATATAAAATATTTTTAAATATTAAATCCCATATATTTATAATTTTGTATTTAAAATTTAAGATTTAAAAGTATCTTGTGTAGTTTTTGAAATTTATTTGTTAGGATTAAAAAAGAAAAGTCAAACTTGTTCCGTAGCAGAAACAATATAACACTCCGCAAGAAAGCGGAGATGATGTAAACCAAAAAAATAAAAAGCGCAGAAGATAATTTGACCCCAAAAAAAAAAAAAAAGCGTAGCAGATAAGGCCCCACGTCAGGAGGGCGCCACCTAATTAACAGTTAAATCGCATTCGCTCCAGCGCCAATTCACGCGTCGTGTTTCCTACGCGCTACTATGACGTGTCTCCTTGTCATAGCCCGAATCGTTTTCCAGTATTTATCTCAAATTTTCTCGCCTTCCTAACGTCACGCAAGAAAATTCATAAAGCAGGCTTCCAAGTTTTCGGATTGATACGCTTACGCGTCTCTCTCTCTATCAATCTGAATTCCCGTGAAGCAAACAAGGCTTGTCTTGCCCTATCATAACTTTCACACATGTAATCGAAACATATAAGGTTAAAATAACCTCCCGATCAAATTTCGCTCTGGATAAAGTTTCCGAGTATATCCATTTGCCTCGTTCCTAGCAATTCCGATTTCTGAATCGTTTCACTCAATTTTTCTCCTATCGCTTATCGGATTTTCTTTTCGTGTGGTGAATTGTATTTTTCTCGAGCAAACATGATGCGAGGACAACAAGACCAGCAATCTCGGATGTTCTACGAGCTATCCACTCTGGTTCTCAATATTCTTCGATCTTCTCCGGCACCAATATCTTTACCTGATCATCACCCGGCCTTGCCGCCGTCGAGGCCATCGCCTTCACTGAGTCAGATATCGCCCGCTGGGTTTGCTTCCTTGCTTTTGGGAATTTCGATGGCTTTGATGCTCTGTGGATCGGTTACTTTCTTTCTTGGGTTCTTTCTGATGCCCTGGGTTTTTGGATTGGTCATGGTGTTGTATGTGGCTGGAATTGTTTCCACTCTCAAGATGTTGGGGCGTTCAATGATTTGTTATGCTACGTCCCTGGCAGAGCCGCGCAAGGAAATTCCTGGTAAATAAATCATTAAATTCCTGGTCTCAGATGTTTTTTCGACCGTCGGAGAATCAGATTAGTTGAAAATCCACATATATTTCCATTTAATTGCAAATTTTCTTGTGATTAAGAGTTCTCTGTTCGAGGTTTTCATTTCGAGCTGACTCGTCTTGAAGGGGTTCAATTTTCGGTCTGTTTATTTCCCGTGTATTTTCGTTAGGGGTTTGGGATAGGAAGGATTATAGGTCAGCCTTCTCTTTTTTTAACTTTTGAATTTGTGAAGTTCTTATTTGTTTATATCTAACAAATTTACAAGTAGTTTAATCAGGCTCTGTTTTATGAATTGCGTTCTTCTGTTCTATTTCTTCCAACAATCATTTTATTTTGTTGGCAAGTATCTGTATTCGACAAGGGCTAGAGCGTGTAGTACATTCATTTTCCCTATCACATCTGGTAATGGTTTCCTTGGTCTCAGTCAAAGAACTCACGTTAGACAAAATTCGTGGATAATGTCTTGTTTATTTGCTCTTACAAGGCAATTTTATGTGAAGGATTCTTGGCCCAGGACTTTGTTCCTTCATGTTTTTTTGGGGGGTTACAAAATAGGAATAAACCAAATAAAACGGAATCTTACCTGTCAACCATAACTCATTCTTGGAAAACCACTCCAGCCAGGTCATCATTTAGGAGTTTCCTAACATGGTTTGCCATGAAATGGCCCACTGATTGCCCTTGCCAAACATGTTCTCTACTCACACCTGCGACTCTCTTCGTAACACCTAAATATCCTGTATCTATCTGGAATTCCGATTAGATTGAAAACTCTTCCCATACTCTTATCTTGAAGTAGCAGCATAACGTTGGCCAAAAAAAAAAAGTAGCAGCATAATAAAACTACTGTCAACATCATGAAGTTTCAAGCTCACCTAAAACGACCCTCTACTCAGCTTGTACAACACTGCAATGGCCTATATTTCTGCAATTACCCCACAAGCCATTGTCCACTCGAGGCGAGTATCAGTCCCTCCCCTGGCTTCCCAAGTTGCTCCAAAAAAATTTTTTTTTTTTAAATCCTGATCTATATGCCACCCAAACAACTCTTCACTTTGCCTCTCAGGCTCTAAAACGTCCATCCACTTGTCATTGGCTCGCAATATATCCCAATGTAGATTTGTGGTTCACTTAACCATCTCAAGGCAAGTTTGAGTTTGGGATTGTGGCAGTTAGTATGCCTTGGGTCACACTCCAGTGTCTTGTAGGATACCTGTGCCGAAATGGAGCAAGTTGCTGAAAAGAGATCAGAAAATTGTTTGTCTAGCTCTTTGTCAATCGTGGCTTAGCTAAGATTTGATTCAAATCAATATTTGTCATTAATTTTAGCCGTCACCCCTTTTTTGAGATCATTTGCTTTTGCCTTCGTCCTCAAAATGGCAGTATATTACTGCATTACTTGTGTTTATTAGCTTCCTTCTCGCCATGCTAAAAAAATTGATGTTGCAGCATGGAAGCTATTGTAGAAGGGTTTGAGGCAGTATGAATTGTGTTTGGTGCTTGCCCACGCAAGGTATGGGAGGATTGACGATGAAGATTGCGGACTTTCTTCATATATTAAAGCCTGAATCATGGATTATTTACAGAGTTTTTACTGAAACTTGTTGATATCACTACTCCTTCAATTAGAAAATAGCGAGACCTGAAGCAATGCTCAAGATGCGAGGGAGTTATTACAAGTTTCTTTCATCTGTTTTCATTTATTGTCGTTATAAATATCATATCCTGTAAATTTCTAATGTACCAATAGACTCTCGAGAGGGTCAAAACAAAGTCGCATCAAGGCAAGAGAAAATCTGGGATGGGGCAGTCGCTACATTCTAAAGCAACACATATTTTTCCCTCTTTTGGTTATATTCGGTTTTGATATATAGATGCATTAAAGTTTACTCTGTAATACAAAGTGCGACTGAACAAAGATAGGAGCAATGTATTAATATTGTTGAAACGGTCATATTATAACTAGCCGAGCTCGGGCTTGGAAATTACTGGTTCAATGCGAGTCCGTGAATTGTTGGTCTTCATCTTCTTTTTTCTTTTTCTTTTTCTTTTTCTTTTTTTCTTTTTTTTGGCTAAAGTATTTGCAGGAGTGGCTCGAATCCATGATGTGAGTATCACTAGGATTAGCCACTTGAACCAAAGGTTCTTGGCTTCTTGTTACTTGTTGGTCTTTGTTGCCATTTTTAATCACTATCTGTGACCCTCTTCTATGGACAAGTTTCTACAGTGTTCACCAGAATAACATCTCTAGGTTGTGTTTGTATGTGTGTTGGAAACGTGGGAAACAATGTTTCTAAATCCACGTTTCCTCGTCATTTCCAAACACGTTCTTAATTTTCCCTCTCTCTCTTAACAGCCATCGCCATGTTTGGGCAATCATTTGATGTATTGCTCGTAATATGGGCAGGTAAGATGATGTTGGAGTTGGAGCAGGAATGTAACTACGAATTAGAAAATCAATTATTTCTTTTAATCTTATTTATAGAATAAAGAAAAAAGGTATCTTTTGTTATATTTATAAATCATTTCATTAAATTTTCAATCCAAATTTTCTCATATATTCTCTATTGAATGTTGAAGATAGAAAATATGTTGTTAAAACATGTATACTTCTTTTAAATTATAATATAAGTCATAGTTAATTAATTCATGATTTAAGAACAATGTTAGTTGAAATTTTAAATTTTTAAGAGTGTTCATAATTTTTATTTATAACCTCATTAGATACCCTATATGAGAGAATTGATAATAGTAATTAAAATTTTAATTCATGAGTTTTTTAGAAAGAGTAATAAATGAAATATAGATATAGTTGAAAAAATAAATATAAAAGTTATTCAATGCCTTATATTTTGGACCAGATAATGTTTCTAAAAAATGCCTTATATTGTGATTTGAAGGGAGTATTTAATAAGGAAAATTTGAGAACTTGTTAAATTTTAAAATAAATTTTATGAGTTTTAAGATTTTTCTTAATCTCATTAAAACATGTTAAAAGAGACTTATAAATAGGATTAAAAAATATATACTTTATAATAAAGAAATATGAAGTGTCAAGTGACATTTTTGAATTATTGTTGGTTTATTAGATACTCTCTCCATCCCAAATTATAAAATATTTTTAGATAAAATCTCACGTATTAATAAATCTCATTAAATATGCTTAACAACCTTATTTTTTCAAAATAAAAATATAAAATTTTAAAAATATCCATCATTTAATATATTAAAAAGAGAAGGGTTGTAAATTAATTATAAAGAGAGAAAGAGTAATATTAAAATTGATGTATTTAATAAAATATTAATTTATTTAAAATATTTTATATTTTTGAATGAAAAAACTCATTTAAAAGTATTTTATAATTTAAAATAAAAGGAATATTTTACTAGGTTCCATTCCACGTATTAATTTCAATGTCCCTTGCCGGGGACAAAGTGTTAGTAATAAATTAAGGGCTAAAACTGTGTTAATTATAGACTTATGGCAGTTTATGTGCACAAATCACAATTGAGATGGTGTCCAACACTGTTAACGATAGCGTGTGGGAGAGTTCCATTAAAAATTTAAAAAAAAAAAAAAGTGAAAGGGAGTTTTAGTGTTGGGGCCCATTTGACTTTGTTTCGGAAAACTATTTTTATGTTTTAAAAAATAAAAAATTATTCACATGAATGTTCTAAATTTAAATAATAAAAAAATATAATAATTTTTTAAAAATTATATTAATAATAATTTAATCTCTTAAAATATCATAATTATAATAAAGTCTCTGAAAACGTCTTTGTTAATAATTTTTTTGATAAAAAGATCATTTTATTCTTATTAATAAATTATAATTTTTTATTTAATTCTTACCATTTTTAAAAGAAAATTTGTGGTTTTTTAAACAAAAATTATGAATAAAATTTATTATTTTAAAAATTTATTTTTTAATAATAGAAATTATATTTGACAATTCTTGTTCAATTGTTGAGATTTATAAAAAAAATTATTATTTTTTAAGCAAAAGTTATAATTATAGTTTATTTTTTAATAATAAAAATTACATCCAATAAATTATAATTTTTTATTTAATTTTTGCAATTTATATAATAAAAATTGTAATTCTTCAAATAAAAATTGTAAATAAGGCTTATTATTTTCAGTAATGGTAAAATAATCTTTTCACTAAAAACATTATTAACAAAAAGATCTTTGAAGACTTCATTAGAATTATGACAATTCAAAATATTAAATTATCATTTATATTATTTGAAGGAATTTTATTATTATTTTTTTATATATTTTCAAAATTATTTTATTTTTTAGATTTTAAAAATAAAAAAATGAGTTGTTTCTATTTTATTTTGTTCTCATTTCTAAAGTACATTAATTATTACTGTGCCAATTACTATCTTAACTCATCATTCGATTTTTTAACTCAAAAAAAAAAAAAGCAACACAATTAATCAATTAAACAGGCCTTTCTCGTGATTTGAATCATTGAGATTAGTCACCATCAAATCAAATGCAGCTTTCAAAAATTAATCAGTTTTATTTTTTAAAAAAAAAAATCGCACAGGAGAAGCAGCTAAAGGATTACAGTTACTGCCAACCTGGGGTTGCGTATTTGATCAGCTAACCTTGATTCCTTGAAAGGCAGGACTTTCCCTTTTTTTATTCGTTCACCGAAAGATGTAGATCAACCCTTTTTTACACGTTTGTTTCATGCAAAATTAATTATTTGATTCTAATAATTTTAATTTAATTATAATTTAATTTTTAAATTTTAACTTATTATAATTTAATTTTTAAATTTTTAGCTCAGTTGTCTATCCCTAAACTTTAACTCTTGTAACTCAATTTTTATAATTTTAATAATTTAAAATATTAATTTCTATATTTTAAAAAATAAAATTATAAATATTAAAATTATTTTAAAATTTTAATTGTTATAATCTTTGTAAAGATTAAAAAGGTTTCGCAATTTTATAATTTTTGTAAAATTATATTAAAATTTAAAATTAATATTTCAAATTATGAACACATAGATTAAAAAGATGAAAATTTTAAAATAATTTTATTTTTTATAATTTAAGGACCAATATTTTAAATTGTTAAAACTATAGTTAATTTATAAAAATTAAAATTTATAAATTGAATTACAACTAAATAGAAATTATAAAAATTGAATTACAATATGTCAAAGTTTTATAATTGAAGTCCAATTATATCAAAATGAGAGGAATTAAACAATTAATTTTTCTTTTATCTTAATACAATGCCACAAAAGATCCGTTAAAAACAGAGCATATATAAAGTTTTTTCCCCCTAAGGGTGGTTTTACAAAAAATAAATCATAATGCGTAAATTGATATTTGATATAAGTCGAGCGAGTCAATTTGTATATTATTTTATTTATCTAAAAGCATAATTAAAAGTGATAGTCCAATCTCTCACAATCAAATCTTAATTTTTGTTAATAATATTTGAAAGAGAATGGTTTTAAGAGTAGTCCTTGAAATATGAGAGTTTTAATAAAATCAAAGTATATACATTAATTTTTAGTAAATTTATTATTCCAGCAAAAGTTGAAGCTAACTTAAATAGTGAATTATCGTCTCTCAACACATGAACCATGAGTTTTTTGAATGAAAGATATATGTACCCCTTCCCATTTTGATAAATTCCATTCTAATTATTTCACTGTTATAAAGAATAAGTAATTAAATTATTGATGTTATATGTAAAAAAAATTATTTTATTCTTATTAATTGTATTATCCTTACAAATATTTTTCTTTCACACGTAACCTTATATTTTACTTGTAAAAACTTATGAAAGGATAAAATTAAAAGAAAATAATTAATGATATATATTTTTAATATAAAGTGACTTATGAAAGAGATTATAATTTTTTTCTAAAATATAACTTTTGTATACAATCTTAAGGAGGGAAATTAGATTATAATTTATTATTTTAGCAGGGTATTTTGCTTGTAAAGGAACGTTGCCAACAAAGAGCACTATTTCCCCAGTCACTCATTCTCATTTTTGATAGCATTGTCGTTTTCGGTAAAAAATAATTTTTAAAAATTAATGCTGGCATGGATATCCCATTTGATTACAGTATTTTAAAAAATGCAAACTTATCGAGATTAGAATGTGCCTTGCTATCCTCCTTTTATATAAACATATATACTTAATTTAAAATATTATTATATTATTCATCATAATAAATATTATATTATTTATCATGCTTATTTCTATTTTATCATGATCTCTCAGTTTTTAAAATTAAATGTTTAAAAATAGGAATAAGATTATGTGGAGTTATAATGGTGGGAGAGTAAGGAGAGATAATGAGGAAAGAATTAGAAAAAATTGAATTAAGATAAATCAATTTTTAAAAGCCTATCAAAAAATAAATAAATTTTTAAAATATAAATTTGAAATTGCAAAAATAAGTTAATAGAATAAAATGAAACTATTGTGGCGCTTTGTATTTGCAGCATTTTGAAAAAGAGGACACGTATTGAGCATGAAAGGAGGTTTACAATTCTACTTATATATGTATATATATTAGGGTGCTAATGTGTGATTAGTGTTAAACACATTAGTTATATTTGCCAACCTTAAGTTCTATATAAAAGGAGCTATATTATTTTTATAAAATTATGGAGTTAATATTTACTCATAATTTAACTTTTATTAGTTTTTATGATTTGTTTGTATCAAAGAAAATGGTTGGGACGAGAGATTTTAAATTTTAGTGACTTTTTAGTGACTTCAATTTTAGAAAAATAGTTTCTTTTACATCTCTCAAATAAAATTTTATAACATATTCATCCTTTTTTCTTAAAATGAAATCATTAAAATATTATCTTTCCTTTCATTTTAAACAAAAAAATGAGAGTTAATATTTTCAAGCATCGCATGAGGTATAAAATTTAGTTTAAAGTAAAGTGAATATAATTAATCTCGTTCTTAACTAATTTATAGTTATAACTTATAAAGTATATTTTATATCTCAATAAATTAATTAATTATTTTTAAAAATATATATTTCTTTTTATGTTTGTCATTGTTTAATAAAAGACGTGTCAATTAAAAAGAATTTATTAATTACACTTTTAAATTGAAATAGTTTTGGAAGAATCTTATTTTTTTGTGATAATTATAAGGAGTAGGCCTCATCAACCTAAAACATCAAAAATAAATCGGGGAAGTGGGTTCATTATTCAAGAACGGTACTGTGGTTTGTTGAGATCAGATAAGTGGCTTAGGGTGTGTTTGGATTTTAATTGGAAAAAATTGATTAAGAAAAAAATTGATTATTAGAATGTGATGGTGTTTGGATAAATTTTCAAAAATTGATTATGATATTGATTTTTCAAAATGGAACAAATTTTAGCTTATTCCAAATGGAGTTTTGGAAACCAAATGGAGTTTGGGAAAATTGGGGTGTTTGGATAAAAATTTTCAAAACCATGATTTTGAACCCAAAATTAATTCTAAATGGGTATCCAAACAGACCCTTAGTTATTCGATAAAAACATTGTAGTCGGCATGTCGTTTTAGCCCGTCATGGAGGGCTTATGAACCTTGTTAGCCCTCATGGTCTCCCACCTTCCAATATTGTCACGCACACTTTGAATACTGGACAGGTTGGTGAGAAAGAACTTTACATGATCGAAGAAATTAAATTTTAAGATAAATTAATATAAATTATTATATTAAATTTTAAATCCTTAGTAAATGCTCGGGCAAACTCCTTCTATTATACAATAATATTAACATTAATTGATGATGATTGATTTACATCCAATTCATTGACCGATTACAAGAGTTGTTTAATTTTATTCTGTGTTTTTTACATCTGGTGCCGACACAAAATGATTATAAATCCCTGCACGACGCGATGGCGAGGCGAAATGGACATTGTTGGATCAGGTAGCTGATTGTAGCAATACAGAATTTAATAATTGGGAGAATTTCATCTAAGTCTTTGAATGTGATAATTTCAACTGGGGCTCAACAAAATTCTGGAACTTCACCACGAGCTCAGAGTATTGAAATAAAATATATTTTATTGCTTGAATAACCAAAATATCTTTTAATTATAATTAGCATTGTTCAGATAACAAATCAGCTTGCAATTTTTACAAGTAATATTAATAAAATAATAAATCAAATTATGAGTTTTACAAATAACATTAATAGAATAAACATAACTTCTTATTATTCTCATAATATTACTTATAAAACTTATAACTTAATTTATTATTTTAATAGTATTACTTGTAACAATTATATTGTAACAATGTTGTTTGTAAGAAGTTATAACTTGCAGTGTTATTTTATTAATATTATTTGTAAAAATTATAAATTGCCTTATTATTTTAGTAGCTTTCATTGTAAAAATCATAATTTGATTTGTTATTTCAGTTATATTGCTTGTAAAAATCATTACTTGACTTATAATTATAATAATACTACTTGTAAAACCTTAACTTTATTTGTTATTTTAATAATATTATTTATAAAAATCATAACTTGATTTATTATTTCAGCAGTGTTAATTATAGTTGAAAGGCATTTGGGTCATTCAAGTAAAATAATCAAAATACCCTGAAAATACTTCAATAACTTCATCATAAAAACCACTAATCAATCTAATTTCCAAAGAATTCCCAACGTTTTTTTTTTTTGTGTTTTTTTAATAACCTTGAACAGCCCGATTCATAATTGAATCGAATCATAGAATACATCATAATACGGACCCACATCTATTTTCTCTGAGACAAGAACAACACACAAAACTAATCAAAAGTCACCCACGTTTAACAACAAAGGATTAATTAAACCCTAAAGCCAAGCTCTCTAGTTCAAGCCTGACTATAATCTGAATCAAAGACTTAAGTAGATAGAGGAGCCAAATAAAAAAAAAGAAATTAAACACTAAACCAGAAATAATTAATTAAAGCTAAGAAAACACACGAACCCTAGAAAAATATGAAAAGAAAAGCAAGCTCCTCTCTGTAATCTTATCCAGTATAGATGTGGACGCCAATGGCGATGAGGAAGATGGTGATGAGGCCGAAGAAGATAATGCCATGAATTAAAATGGAGATGCCACTGGTTTCCATGGATCCAAACGCCACAATTCGGCCTCTTGCCGGAAACTGAAACAGAAGGCCTGGGCTTAACAGAATGAATAGCACCACCGCGATCACCACCGGTCCCCAATCCGCCATTATCGTCCTCCTCTCAAGCTTCTATGGCTGATGATATTGATTCTTGTGTGAGCCGAGCGAACCGATTATTATTATATCAGACCCAGTGTGTGTCAGCTATATGTATATATATATATATATATATATATTGCTGGGATGTTATTGAGCCGAGGAAGGAAGGAATAAGATGAAATGATGAGCATCAACTAAAGAAATTTATTAATTACCCCCTCCATTTAAAAATATAAAATATTTTTAATTGAATCTCACTTTTTAATAAAATAGTTACTTATTTTTTAATTAACCCTTTTTTTATATTTATTCTTATTAAATACCCTATAATAAATAGAAAGTCATTATTAATAGGAATACTTTAAAAAATAATTATATTTTAAAAAATTAAAAATATATTATATTTTTAAACATTTAAATTTTTAAAAAATATTTTATATTTTCAATCGGGCGGAATATTTTATTTGTTTGGTTTGTTTTCTGTTTTTTGAGCAAAATATTTGTTTGGTTTGTTATATTTTTGTTTTTGTGGAAAGAAATTTTGGCAGTGGATGTCATAATCAGATGAGATGCCTGTAGGAACATGCCAGCACCAAGAAACGCTACGTGGTTTTTTTGAGGCCGCGTGGCGCGCGCATATATATATATTCCTTTTTTTTTTGTTATAAAATGACTATGTTATAAAAATTAAAAAAATAACCGTTAATTCATTAAATATGTCTTCAGATTACTCCTATTAAAAATTGAAAGAAAAAGATACACATACAATATACTCCTCCAATCCTGTATATTAATTATCTTTTAAAAACATAATTTGATTCACTTTCTAAATTATTAGTTGATGGGATTATTTTGTTTTAAATAAAAAATTTTAAACTACCTTGCAAAAGTTAAAAAGAAAAAGATGAAAAAATAATATTATATTATTTATTTACTTTTTACTTTTTATTTAAGGATTATATTTAAAATTTTACTTACTTTCATTTCTTATACTTGTATTGTATTAGTATTGATATAATTGGTAGAATTAATTTATAAATAGGACTAGAAGAAGTATATGATAAGTAATGAAATTAAATTTTACAATAAGGATGCAATTGGAAGATAATAATAAATAATATTCTTTGTGTCTTATAAGTACATGGATGCATGGGTTAAATGGCAATTTTACTCTTAAATCAAAGCTTCGAAAATGTATGAGACTCCTAACTTTTCTTTTTTTTTTTTTTTTAGTGTGTGATGTTCTTATTCAAGGATGCAATTGGAACATAATAATAAATAATCTTCTATGTGTCTTATATGTACATGGATGCATCAGTTAATTTGCAATTTTGCTCTTAAATCATAGTTACAAAAATATATGGGACTCTAAACTTTTTTTTTTTGTGATGTTCTTATTCAACAATTAAAAACATTACAATGTTTATCTTGGCCACTAACAAAAGTTAAATTTGATAATTAATTGACATAAAATTATTGAAAATGCCATCAAAAATTACAGAAAACATCCTAGAAAATTATAAATAAGTATTTTATAAGAAAATTATAATATTTTAATAAGATATTAGTAAAAAATATATAATATTTGTTTAGTTACTCACCAGATAATTGCTTGTTAGCTAGTCAAAATCACAGGTTAAAATAGTATTTTGGTCTTTTATAAGGATAAAAAATAATATTTGCCTCTTGGAATTAATTTATATTTTAAAAAACTTGATTGATATTAATTTTTCTATAAGATATTGTTCTGTAATTTTTTTCATTTTCTATAATTTTTAAAATTTTTTATAATTTTCTAATCAATTAACTGTCTTTTTATTAATGGTGGAGATAATATTGCAGTATTTTCAAATATTAGAGAGGAATATTGCTTAAAAAAATATAGGGGACCATAGGCTTTTAGATCTATATAGTTTAATGATAAAATTATCCTTTAATTCTCATAAATGTGTACACCCACCGAATCAAAGCAATTGAAAAGGCATTTCGAAAAGGCTTTGTTTCAAGGTTAAGAATCAGACCATGTTAATGGGTATAATTATAACTTAGAGAATTGGATTCTACAGCTTGGCATTGAACATGGCCTCATGAATAATATGTCTGTCACTGCTTGAAAGATAAATTCCATATTCTCTTTATTAACTTGCCATTTTTCACCCTCTTTCTTCTTTATTAACCATGGTGGTTTTTAACTGCCTCGGCAATTCATACTAATTTTATATTGTAATTCTATGAACAACATTAGTTATATTATATAACGGAGCATTGAATTGATTGTAAGACTTTCCATTGTCATATTGTGAAAAAAAAAAAAAAAATTTACTTATGACAGAGTTACCTATGGTCATTTGAAACTAATGAGATCGGATTTGATGAATACCTCAAATATTCTCATTTAGTAAGTGCTCCACATAGTACGATGGAGATCGATTGTCAATTTATTCGAGTGGTTATTAGAGATGTATGCATAAAATATATATATATATATATATATAAAAAATATCAAATTACAATTACAATTCTACCTTTTGTTATACCCCATTCCTTAGTTCAATTGTTCATATGACGTTAGAGGAATTGTTAAAATACGTCCTTATATAACTGGCCTTTTGGTTATTATTTCATTTATTTCTCTTGTCAAGTATGAATTTTCAAGTGTTGGTAAAATCCTATGACTATAATATGGACACTCAGAGAAGATTTAAAACACTTATAAAATTTAAATTCAATTAATAATGCTTAAATATGTCTCTCAATTTTTTTTAAAGGAATCCTATGTGGAGACAATCACTGTTGTCATTTTTTATTAGTGGAGCTATCTTTTTCTTTATTTTTTTTGGGTCATTTTTTCATTAGTGGAGCCTCATTTTATTCTCACCACACCGTTATTGGTTGGACATCAAAAGCTTAACAACCATTTTCCCCTTTTTATCTTTTTTTTTTTCATAGTTTTCTTGTGAAAAGTGACACTAAGGCAAAATTTTTCGTAGTTTAACAGCTGTAAAGTATGTTAATAACTTGACATATATATATATAGCTAAATAAGAAAAAATTAACTATCAAAATAATTTAATTTTTATCAATTTAGTCCCCTTAAATTATGTTTTATTCTTTTAAAAAAAATTCTAAGTCTATTTTTTATCATTTAAATAATTAATTTTTTTCATTAATTTATATATTTGTTACCAATATTCTGTTATTTATGTCAACAAATTTTAATAGTGTTAGCTCCTCTTTAAATAATAATGGTTAAGTTAATAATCAAGGCAAACTTAAGAGACTAAATTGATAAAACGTAAACTCAAAAGACCAAATTAATATTTGAAATAAATTTAAATGACTAAAAATTTCATTATCCCTAATTATCAGTCTCAAATATGGGATGTTTTGTTTTATTTGGTTTTAGTTAATAAGGATTTAACACATTACTTACAAGGTCATAGGTTCAATTTCTATTACTAATGTAAGAATATTATTGATAAGTGATCTGTAAGTATTTTTATAAGTTTTCTTTGATTTTGGAGATATGTCTTAACCTAAGTTTTCAAATCTAACTAACCTACATTTTTTTAAACAAAAAAAAAATAGCATTTCAACTTTTATTTATTTTACAGAGACAGGTCTCAAGGTAAGAAGAAAAGCATGATACAACCCTGGGCTGGTTGGATCAACACAAATGGCCCCAATAAAAAGAATCATTAACTTATGGTGATGGGCCTTTGTGCTAATCTATTTTCCTTTTTTTTTTAAATCAGAAAGAATTTTCATTTTCTACCGAAAATAAAAAATAAAATATAGTCTTGAAGCATCCTTTTTTCAAATATTTTTTAAAAAATTTTTTAATCAAAGTTTTACTAAAAAATATATTTGTAACACCTTTTTTTTTGTGAAAATAAATCTGTAACTCACACTTTTTAATCAAAAGAACTACTTTCATAAGAGAAAAATTTTGAAACAATATTATACTTCTAAATAATTCATCGTTTGAATAATTAATTTACTTCAGATTAAAACGCTTAGGCTTAAAGCAGTCCATTAAAGGATTATAAAAAAGTCCATTAAAATAAGAAACGGAGAAAATAATGAAAAAAGGGATATATATATATATACATATATATATTACCTCTGACCTTAATTATGGTTCAACATTACATACTTACTTCATAATATTGAGAAAGTGATTAAAAACAGCTAGATTTCTTAAATTTACCAGAAATTGAAATTATTTTTCAAAAAATACTCCCAATTGAATATTTAATTAATGTAATTTCTTTACGGAAAAAATTAATATAATTAAATTCTCTCTTTCATTGTGTTTTGACTCTTTGTTTGACTAATGAAGACTAGGAATGGAAAAAAAAAAAAAGTAATCAATACTCCAAAAATTGTTGTTTGTGACTTATAAGTTGGATCATGAGAGAACATCTTCTCAAGTAACCTATATTCAAGACCAATTGAACAAAAATTCATTTGAAAGAATCACATTTAAAGATCACTCAGTAAATTATTAACAGACAATAATTAATAATAAATCTCATTTTAAAAAAAAGAAGTCATATTTTTATTTTAACAACAATTTATTTAATATTGATCCTTATCTGTGAATAATTTTTTTAAGTAATCCTTGAATATGATTCTCCTAAATTATTTTTCTTATTACATTGCAAGGATCGTGACTAATGAAAATGTCAAAACATTTTTCATTTTCCTACACTTGTCTCGAGAATACAAATTATTAAAGATTCATGAATGACTTTAACGTATCAGTGCTGAAAATGAAAAATTATTTCGTTATTATTATTATTTTTTTTTTGGAAAAAATATCGTCACTCCATGACTTGGTGCTCTATAAGTTTTGTTTCTGCATTTGGAATTTATGTCCAAATATTTGGGTGTTTTGGTCCTTGTGAATAATTATGTTCCTGAGGAGTCCGTGGGTCAATGGCCCAAGGCCTTACCCTAAAGGGAGGAATTAAAAGCCTCATGCAAGAACACAAAAAGATTGACTTGTTTAGGAGACAAGTGAAAACGGACAGATCAAAAATCAACACCATGACGGCCAAGAACTTGTTTCTACTGGTAGAAATGTATAATGTATCA